TGTGTGTGTGTGTGTGTGTGTGTGTGTGTGTGTGTGTGTGTGTGTGTGTGTGTGTGTGTGTGTTTTAAACGCTCATTACATTCACCTTCTTAAAGAGTGCCTTTTTCTGACCTTATGTTAATACATCAACCACCAAGCACTCTCTCTTCTTCAGAGGTTTTTCTACTTTCTTAAGAAAACAAAGGACAACCTGTAGAATGACTTGAGCCCAATCAACCTCAGGACCAGGTAAAAAAATAGGCTCCTTATGGCTGGGGCTCCCTTATATTCTCCGGCATCAGCCCAATTCCTGTGCCACCGGCAAGTCAAGAAGAATACGTGGAGAACCACATACACCTACCAAAGGCTCCGCTGACCTTAACGAGCGTAGGTGTATGTGGTTCTCCATGTAATCTTCTTGACTTGCCGGTGGCACAGGACTTGGGCTGATGCTCCCCAGAGGATATAAGGGAGCCCCAGCCATAAGGAGCCTTTTTTTTTTACCTGGTCCTGAGGTTGATTGGGCTCAACTCATTCTACAGGTTGTTCTTTGTTTTCTTAAGAAAGTAGAAAAACCTCTGAAGAAGAGAGAGTGCTTGGTGGTTGATTTATTAACATAGTATATGGTTTGTCCTTTTTTTCTTCTTAAAAAAGTTGAAAGACTTCTGAAGAAGAGAGAATACTTTGTGATTGATGTACTAATATGTTCTTGCGAAATTCTTTTGGGCTTGACAAATTTGATGTCAGGTCGATGAGCGGTAGTGCCATGCTGACTGCAAAGACACGGCGACTTGCATCTAAGGCTGACACATGGAAGGTAAGGAAGGCTTCCCTTCTGTGTGTTAACTGGGATAACTTTCTTGTTTATTTTTCAATTAATTTGGACCGTTTCTCGATCTACGCATGTCATCCTTGCACGGGGGCCATGCAAGTCTTCCCTGTATAATTCCAATTTTAATGGGTGTCCCGAAAGATTGCTGCGGAAAGATTTCAAAATGTATGTGTTTTTTTCCCTCCTTTGGAAAGATCTCAAGATGTACTCAAACAATGATGTCCCTTTCAAGTTTGTCCTTACACCATCATTGTCCCCAACCCAATTTTGTCGCACCTGCTATTGGTCCAACCACCTGGAGTTGCAGAACCTCTGAGCGCTGTTCGAATTAAGAGCCTGACCATGGCAGATGTCGGTGATGGTCGGGGATTGTGATCCAATGATTCATCAGCTGCTGCAGACCACAACAGGCATCACTAGACCATGGAGTAGGGCTGCTACTGGTCCAAACCTGTGGGCGCTACATACTACTGGCGTGACGACGACGAGCAATTGGGGACAGTGTTGGTTTAACTGCACAGCTAGTTAAGAAACAGTCAGGCATTATCCCCGTTGGTTTAGTGGCGGTTAGTTAATAAACTGCCAGTGTGTAAGACCAGGAGCATTAGGGGTCCTTAGGACGAATTAGACATCGGACTGCATTGCCGCAAAGCATGCACATATGAATACGCAACAACGAGTGACAAAAGAAGTGCAGAAGTCTTTAAACATCCTCTTGATCCTCCCATTTTTCTCTCCTCATCATTTGTCACCCCTTCTCCTCGTCGCCATCTTAATTGTTATTCATACTTATTATAATTCCCACCGCCGCTACTATCACACCCCCATCATCACCTAGTGGACCATAGTGGTCCACTACCACCATTACCACCACTGTTATCATCACTAATCATCAACATTACCACCATAGCCACCTCCTCCTTGTCATCATCCTTCCTCCTCCTCTTTTATCTGGTTCTTGTTATTGATGTTGCTTGCCGTCCTCTTTTTTTTCAACTGCTGCTTGGACCATGTATGGTGCTCCTATTTCCCCACCGCATCTCAGCCACGCTGGTGCAAGCATTAAGATTAAAATGGACTAAAAAGCTCATCTTCGCCCCCCAAAGTCCGTGGTGCGTTTTAGCTCTAAAACACTCGGCCCGACTGGCCCTGGCAACCCCCCAAACGATCCACCCGCTGACATGGCTGGAGGACCGTTTCTGGACGATCACATGTAAACTCCCTCAAGGAAGGGAGGGGCTGGATGGCGGTGACCAGACGATGGACAACTTTTCGCCATCTCTGTTGGAAACCTGGCGTAGACTTCCACTCCTAGACAGGACCCACCACATCCGTTGGGAGGAAGTCTACCGACAACCCCTCTTTGGAAATCGATAGGTGACAGATCTGAGAGACTGCGTCATGATAAGCTCATCCCCGCCCTGGAAAAGCTGGGTTAAATGAGGGGTGCTTAGGGTTGGGGATCTCTGGGACAATGAGAGACATGACTGGGTAACAAGAGATCAGTTGCGGGAAACCTTGTGGTACTGCCACCACGTAGAGGAACTTTTTGATAACCTAATCGAAGCCATCCTACTGGCGTGGTACCGAATTCTTATACGAGGCCCCCTTTTGCGAGTAGGCGATTGGGTAGCAAGTACGGAGACCCCGCTGATGATGGGCCAGGTACATATGGTCTCACCCCAAACAGTCTTGATCGAACACTACACTATCACCAGAACAGGCAACCTCCAGGGGAATAGAGCTCCCTTCGAATGGAAAGAGAAATCATCTGTGTACCGAGTGAGAGTTATAGAGGAGAAGAGACAAAGGGTGGTATTCCAGCTATTCAAACCAATCCAGGATCTGGCTCTGGATCCAGTAGAATGGACATGGAAAACCCCCCAGAAGAGGGGAGGCCCCAAAGAAGCCTGCACCAGCTGTTGGTCAAATCAACCTATAAAATGCTCAGACCTAAACGACGCCTGAGGGACACCATTAACGACCGATGGGCCAAACACCTAAATGTGGACCATACCCTCCTGTCACCTATTCAATGGTTCAAGGAACAAAAATCTAAACCCATGAAAATTACCTCCCTACAGTGGCAGACTGTCCATTGCTGTTTGCCAACTAACGACTGGTTGACTGACCGTACTAGTCTAGAACAAAAAGGTCTTCTACTTCCATGGTGCCCGCGGTGCCAGATTATTTTCCCTTTCCATAAGAAGGCGAAGATCATCGAACATATTTTCATGCAATGCTCGATCGCCCAATTCATATGGAGATGGTGGGACCGCATATGGAGGAAAATGGAATTTGACATCCCCTAGCCCTGGTCATGGCAAGGCATATTGGCCGGCCATTGGTCGCCGGCAGAAGCAGCCAAGACCTTCGTAGAGAATCTGCACAGACTGGGAAGGAGGTCGGTGATATGGGCACTTCGGTGGCAGAGGTGCACCCTGGCCATGGAGAAGGTGAGCGTAGAAGGGTCAGAGATCACAGAACAGATTCAGCAGCAGGTGCATCTTGAACTCACACAAAGATGGTCGGACACAAAAACACAATTAGATCTCTTCAGACAAGTTGGGAATGTTAAGAGACAGATTACAGTTTTTTGCACAGATTGGGTAGGAGGGGAGAGAGAAGGATGGATTGCAAAAGTGGAATGGAGAGGAGACAGGGGAGAGGGACAGCGCGATTTGGAAGAAATGAGAGACTACCGTCCGGTTTTCCAAATACTGGACAAACATAGAACCCTCGTTCCCACTACGCCCTCCCTCGGACTTCCTAGACCCCTTCCCACCTCACGCCCTTTCCCTGGCGGAGATTCTGTCCTGAATATTATATGCTCATATATGCTCATATACATAATATATATGCTCATATATGGAACTCCTCCCTGGAGCCCCCTGGGGAGGACTCCGCTAACATACATATCTGTTTCTGTTTTGGTGCTCAGTTAACTCCTCTTTTTTTTTCGATTGGGGTAGTCAATGCTGGCAGTCTGAGTATTCTGAGTAATCTGTGCCTTTCAAAAAAAAAAAGAGTGTCAACTGTCAAAAAAAGAGAGACGAAAGGAGGTTCCACTGGTGCCCCCCAGTGGCTCCTTCTGGTTCTTTTTATGGGACGCTGGACTCGGTTTCCAGCTAGCATGGATCCAATATGGCTTAGGGGAAGGCAAGAACTAGTGTGTAGCGATGTATCTGGCACCGGATTCAGGGTGAAGAGGTTCCCCCTTCCTCCCAATATCCTACTCAGTTAATCCCCTGGATCCCAAGGTAATCAATGCTGGCAGGAATACCCCACAATTGTTTTCGGATGTATCCAAGTTCAGTCTGTGCAAGGGACACTGGACCCGTTTTCCAGCAGGTTCAATTCTCGGGATCTATACAGATACTGTACATAGGTAGGGTGAGGTCTAGGGATCGAACCTTGGGTGCTGCATCAGCTACTGCTAAAAGGTGAAAACCGTTGCACTCCCGCCGTCCTAAATTTGAGGTCCTCCGAGAACATTTCAGTTCAAGGCGGGACCTTTACCTTTCTTGTCACGTTCATAGGCTCTGACTATGTCATAAGCGGTTTCTAGAAGTTCTGTTTTTGTGAACCAGCGGTCGTCTTCCGGTTCCTGATAGGCAAATGTACCTTGTATTGTTTCAGGGGACGACCTTTACCTCCTGTTCTGAACACATCCTCATCTACAATGCCTTCAATGTCATAACTTCCATCCATATCCGGGGGGATCATGGATCTTCTCGAAGGGAACTGTTGGCTTGTGAGACACGGCAGCAACTTTGAAGCATGAAACACAGGGTATGTGTGGAGGTGTGCTGGAATCTCAATGCTATAGGACGGTCCATCCTCTCCGCCCTTGACTTCTAGACCGGCCACGGTACTCTATATGTGGGCAGTAACTTCTGCGAGATGTTTTCCTCAGGTGCAAACTTTTTAGCCTTGACCCAGACTAAGTCGCCTACCTGAAACTGTGACGGGCGGCGGTGCTTATTAGCTTGCTCTATCATCCTATGCTGGGCCTTCCTGAGGTTTTCAACAACACTGGCTAGTTCTTTCTCGTGCTGTATCGCAAACTCCCTGGTACCGGGCGGAAATCTGTGAATCTGATCCCGGTTCAGTCCTTCGAACAGTCTGCGTGGTCTAAAGGACTTGTGCAACTCATTGGGAGTGCGACAGGTGGATAGATGCACGTTGTTGTTGTATGCACTAGCTACCTTAGGTAACATCTCATCCCAGTTAATCTGATCTGGTCTAATGTACATGCGCAAAACTTGTTGTAGGATCTTGTTCATTTGTTCTGACTGACCGTTAGTTTCTGGTTGACGGCCAGATGACATTAACAACTTAGATCCATAAACTCTCATGAGTTCTTACCAGTTCTGGCTGGTGAAACGACTATCTCTATCACTAACWATTGACAATGGGATTCCATTCTCACTAACCCAAAAGTCAAAAAACTTATGTATAACTAAGTCCGTACGTGCCTCTGCAGGCAAAGGRACGAAAACTGCATATTTRCTAAARCGGTCMACTACGACCATGACTTGGCTCTTACCATGTCTACTCTTGACTTGGGTGTCCATGAAGTCTATGGACACGGAGTCTCCCGGCTGATCCGGAATAGGCAAGGGTCTGAGAAGACCTAGGGGCGCGCGTGTAGTAGACTTATTCCTCTGACACACTTTACAACTGCGGACATACTCTATGCAGTCATTCTTCATCCCTGGCCAAGTATACGCACGCAACAGGTTGGCTAATGTCTTTTGCCAACCGAAATATCGTGCCATTCCCCTAAAATCAAATTGCGGATCTCTTCGCTGTTGGGAACGCACAGACGGTCAAACACATTAGTCTTCTCAAATAGCAACCCATCTGTAGTGCGATAATCTGGTTCAGTCTCTGGGGCCTCTCTAACTCTCTGTAGGAGGTCGCTATAGATAGGGTCCTGCGCATATGCTTGCCTCACTTTCTCATGCAGGTCTCTCCCTATA